TGAAAGTATCACGAGAAAAGGTTAAGTTCAAGGGGCAGACTGTCATTCTAGGCCAGGACTTGGTGCACCTGAATCTGGCTGTGTTCCCCAAACAAAAGCCAGAGTGGAGCCAGAGGAAGAGCTTCAGGGGTGGAATAAAAAGCATGCGCAGCAGCACGAAGGTGAGAAAGACAAGGGCAGGGTTGACGGTGGGTGTGCTGGGGTCGGAGTCTGGCTTGATGGTGAGGAGAGTGAGGGGGGGGGGGGGGGACGACGAGAAGGCAGCTCTGAAAAGGCCCGTGTGACTGACCAGGAGTCGAATTTTCCTTCTGCAAGTAGGAAGTAGGGGAAGGGGGAAGGGAAGGAATCCATTGAAGAATTTGAGTGAGAGATTGACATGGCCCGATTTGTATTGTAGACAGATTCCCAGAGAAGTTCAGCCACCTCCAGGGATTAGAGGCAGCCAGAGCTTTGGCCTCTTCCCACAAGTCCCTGCAGCCTGGCCCAAAGCCCTACAACAGGGACGGCTGTTTAGGAGCAGGCAGGCTGGGCCACAGTCACACCACGTGCATGCGTGCATGTGAGCACCTGGAAGTCCTGGCTCCCCGCGCGTTGGGCCGAGATGCCTCTCAGGGCCAGTCCTTTCTCATGGGCAATGTTCCAGGGGCGGGGGAAGGGGGGCGGCAGTCCTAACGGGATGGGGAGGGGGATGTGCACCAACAGATTCCTAGGGTCTCTGGCCCAAGGGGCCATTCTGAAGGTGTGAGGCTGATTTTTACACCCACTCACACAAGAGGGGAAGGGCCCGTGGAACACTTCTTAGCAGGCACTTGTCCTGATCAATTAAAAATGATCTTTAACATCCTTTATTCTAATCAATAAATCCTTCAGTGCAGGTTAAGTGAGCTATTTGAAGTGCCATCTGGGGGTTGACTTCCGATTAGGGTCTTTTTTACTTTTCACTTTAAAAAATTGTGTTTAATCACATTATTTTAACCATCTTTAACCACTCAGTGGCGGTGTATACATTCCCCATGTTGTGCAACACTATCCACTCTCAGAACTTTGTCATCACCCCAGGTAGAACCTCTGTACCCACTAAACAGTAACTTCCCATCCCCTCACCCCACCCCCACCCCACCCCCTGGCCCCTGACAACCACCATTCTACTTTCTGTTCTTATGAAAATTTGATTATTTTAGGTGCTTCATGTAAGTGGAATCATACAGTATGTGTCTTTCTGTGTCTGGCTTATTTCACTTAGCATAGTATTTTCAAGGTTCACTCATGTTGTAGAATGCATCAGAATTTCATTCCTTTTCAAAGCTGAATAATATTATGATCAGGGTCTTTTAAAAGTCAACAAGCCACTCGGAGCATGCAGATTGAAATTAGCGTGCACGAACCCACACATGTCAAACTGTGTCCACGCTGAAGATGTACAGGGAACATCTGCAGGATACCACGCTAGGACAGGGTAACAGGGGAGAGTAGTGAGCCCTACGCGATAAGGGCGGCAAGTGGATATGGATGGAGGGGAGCAAGTGCCAAAAACTTAGGAGAAAGAATGAATCGAGTTTGGCTACTGGCCGATGGGAGATATGGTGGAATTTTGCATGACCATGACATCCAAGAGGCAGAGTAAGTTTTTAGGAAAGGGAGGTGAGTTCATGTGTAAGTACTCATTGATGTACAAAATGGATAGTTGGATGTCCCGTTCTGGGTCACCACTAAAGACTGGGCTACGGGGCACAGGTCAGCATCCTCGGGAAATAAGCAGCTGGTCCGGCTGTGGATGGGCCGCACTCACTCATGAAGGAGACAGAGGATGAGACAGGTGAGAAGAGCACAAGAGAGAGGACCTGAGACTGGGCCGTGAGGAGCAGACGCAGTGTAGGAAGGAAGGACGTCTGCCACAGACTGAAGGGCAGTGGCCTGAGCAAAGTTAGAGCTCGGGAGTCTCACAAGAGGTTTTCCTAGGCCAGTGGTCCTCAGTGTCGAACTGCATGATGGGAATGAAGATAGAGGCAGAGGCATGTCCCCTGCGGGTGGCGATCAGGACAAGCAGACAGCTGCCTGTCAGAGGGAGAGGTGGCGACAGATGCCAGAAGGCAGAGACTCGAGGAATGATGGAGCGTAAGGTGAAGGTGGACATGCTTTGTAGGCTGTTCTTCCGAGAAACAGGGTCGTGAAAGAAAGGCAGTCTCTAGGAGCACTGAGCAAAGTTGAGTGGTTGTTTATTTTTAAACCTAAAATAGATCTAAACATCTGTAGGAAAGGGAAAATCAGCATAGGAAGAGAATTAAGATACTCGGTGGGGAAGGGGAAAGGTGCCATTGGGGGGGTGCCCATGGAGTGACATCGGAGCAGAGTTCAAGTTGCCCCTGGCATCGCTGTCTGCTTGAGAGGCTGTTGGAGCAAGGTGAGGGGGTCACCTAAACCAAGAGCGGGAGCCGAAGGGCCAGAGATGCTCTGTTTAAAGCCAACATTTTTTGGAAAACCCAAAGTGACTATTTTCCAGTATAATAGGTCTCCCTTTGGGAAGATGCCACCTGGACACACACACAGAGGCAGGAGCTTCCTTTAGTGGATGGTGACCAGAGCGGTGCACAGAGGACAGTGGGGACAAGGGCCTCCTCATCATGGCTCTCTAACTGTGCAGGACACGATAGTAAAACATGAGACAGAAATGCAGGGCTCAACATTTACAAATTAAACATAAGAGAGCCACTGTTTAATCTTGCCCTGAGAACTTAGAAGATGGGCCACCTATTCTGAAAGAGCACAGCGCCAGAATGGTCACATGCTCAAGTTCGCTACATTAGAGTCTGAATACAATGCAAACCTCACCTGGAGAAGCAGAGAGAATGGAAAACACTCCTTTCAATGAAATGATGGGGCTGTGAAATTGAAAAATTTGGCTTCTCGAATTCTCAGTGGGTTGCAAATTTCCACGCTGATCCGAGAGACGAAGCTTGTCATCTTTAAGCCAACTGATTGCGTCCTTTACAAATATTAGTTTTCGTTCCTGCATGTGCAGTGCCTTGCCGTCCCATTTATATGGAACACGCTGTCATTTCCGCTTGGCCTCCCTGTGACCTCCTCACTCGTTCCACACTGGGCTGTTTACCTTCCCGGTTCTCGTTCCAAATGTCTTCTGCGCCTTCCCGAAATCTTTCCAGATCCTAAGACTATACCGCATGAAAATTCAGTATTTAAATCTACGTACATTGGCACTCCACTATTAGGTCTGAAAATAGGTAGCACTGCAGCATCATCTTATAAAATTCTGGAGCCTCTCAAACAGCCCCCAAGTGTTAGGAAAAGACTTTGTACCTCCAGTCCCCTTTAAATGGCATTGAACTGAGCACCCGCCGGGTTTTTATTTGCACATGTGGTTGTCACAGCTATGCTGCCTCTGTGGTCCCCACGCAGGTCGTCTTTGCAGCAACAAGTTTATTGTGAAATTGTTCCTTGGCCTTGCCTACTGTTTAACGAGCTCATTTTTAGTCAGACATCTGCCTCTGAGAACTCGATCTGGAGCTTGCTCGGACACTACACGGTGCAGAAGGCTTGCAGTGTGTGGCTGTCACCAAGCTGTGACATGAGGGACACTGAGTCTTTAACTCATAGGTCTAGTGACCATTGGGAATATGCGTCCCCTGAAAATTAGAAGTGTCTACTACCTGCTTCTTTTACAAACATCTGGAAAACCCTTGGGCTTGCAATTCCAAGGTAGTTTATTTGTCCCTTCAACAAACGTGGCGATTTTAAACACCTTAAAACAAACATGTGTTATTGCACAGTTTCTGAGGATCAGGGGCCTGGAAATGTCTTAGCCGAGCGGCACTGGCTCAGGGTGTCTCCCGAGGTTGCTTTCACGCTGTGGGAAAGGGTTGCAGAAACCTCTAGGCTCACGGGGAGCAGAGGAAGCCACTTCCCAGCTCACTCTCACTGTTGGTGGTAGGTCTCAGTTCTCAGCTGGCTCTTGGCAGAGGCTTTAGTCCCTCATGACATGGGCCTCCCCCTTGGGCTGCTCACAAGATGGCAGCCTGTCTTCCTCAGATGTATATTGAGAGAGAGAGCGAGAGAATGAACAAGAGAGTGAGAAATTGTTCATCTTTCTGTAACCGGTCTTTCTGTAACCCAGTCTCAGAAGTGGTACCGTCACTTCTTCCACGTGATATCAGACATGCAGTGCAGTCCTGGTAAATAACACATGGCACTTCACTTTGTGGTACTAATGCTCAGAGGTGTGGACCAATAGAAGAGATGTATAAAGAATAAATAGTAAGGTATATAAATATTGAGGCTCAATGCTCTTTTAAAAAAAGACTGGTGAAGTAAGGAGTCACAAAGGCTGGAGACCACGCTCTGGAGAAGGAGAAACCCTGCTTTGGAAAGACACTGTTCTCAGCTCTTTAAGAGTCTCCTCATCATTACTTGCTGCATGTGAGGAGGGTCTTAATGCTATATCAACATGGTGCAGTTGAGCAAACCAAGCGGAGGAAGGGGAAGTTACTTGCCCAAAGCCACATGGCTACAAGGGGCTGAGCAAGACTCAAGTCCAGGTCAACTGACTTACTCACAGGCCCTCTCTGTTCCTCTCCAGCCCCCACACAATCCAGCTCACCCTCCATTAACAAGTCTCTTACACTCTCAGGGCTATGCTAGGTCATGGGGAAGCAAATGTATAAAACGGGGTCCCACCTTTGAGGAGCTGAGTGACGTGTAAAAGTCTTGACAGCCAGCCGCTAACGCCAGTGCAGAATTTCTGGTTACAAAGTACAAGTCGGTTTCCGTGGTCCCGATTTCCTCTGCCTTTAGCAGCAAAGTGGTCTCCAGGCTTTTGGATTGCACACCCCATCATTTTTTAAAAATTGACCATTCAGACCCAATGTGTATGTGTATATTTATGTATAAATACTATACCTGTATTCCTGTAGCACTTACATGTCAGGTATTCAATAGAGATTACAGACATATAAACAGGAGTTTTCCTATTTCTTCCTTCTCCTTAGGAGCCTGCGGAGAACCTGCCCCTCGGGGCAGCCCCCTGAGAAGCACCTTTGCGGCCACTCGGATCCGTTGCCCGTGGGAAATTCCTGGAGAACCTCAGTGAGAAGGTGTGCGATAGCAGGGATTTGTGCTGGGATCCAAAATAAAGGTACTCTCAGGATCACAGCCAAATGAGTATTTTCAAAAGAAATTCTTCTCATTTTCTTGGCTTTAAGGACAGATGAAATGCGTTGTAACTCCAGTTGTTTCCACCCAGACTTGCTCTAGAAAACCAGGTCCCCAGGTGGCCAAGTCTGCAGTGTGAGTCCACCCCACCTCCTACCCCTCAGCCGCTGCCCCCACAGACAAACTTCTCACCTACAAGTGGTGATGACATCATTCTTTGGCTCTTCAGTGGCTAGTAAAACAAATCACAGCTAAAATCTTTCTATTCCATAGTCTTAAAGAAAAACACATAAGCAAACAAAAAAGAGATAAATGTGCCAGGCTACAATGTGCTGGGCTTCTTAAGAGAGTAATTTCCTTGTCTCGGGCCCTGCCTAAGGTGAGACCCTTCTCCTCTCTCACACGCCCAGGCCCCCACCCACAGAGGATCATGGCTGCAATGCCTTCTCCAAGAGTCTAGGGGGTTCAGGAAGCTTGACTCAGGCTAATCTAGGAGCTCCGGGGACGTTTCCCACACTGAAAACTCCCTCCTTCATCGGGGCTCCGAGAAGAATGCAGGAGGATACAGGAGAGGGGCGTGGGGAGTGCGTGGGTGGGTAGGATGGGGACAGATAAGGACTTCTATCAGAACAGCAGTTTCCACAATGAAGGTATGAACCCGGACAAAGGAAATAAAGGGGCAGTAACAAAAAGCCAACGGGAACTTTGTAGCTTTAGGAAAGAACTGAAATGCGGGCCAAGGCCAGCCCTTGTTACCAGCCCCGGACACTGTCCTGAATCTTAAATGTGGCTTCCGAGGGAGGGAAGGAACTTCCATGTCATTATCTCCATTGTTTTGAGTTTAGGGGGTGATAATGCATTTAAAGGAAGCTGTTTTTGCAACTGGTGCTGAGAAAAATAGAGCTGGTGGGGGGGAACTTATTCAATAATAGAAACAATTCTTTTCCAACTCATCTGCAGACCAAGCTTGTTTCAGGAACATCACAGAAACCTAGGTCTACTCTAATCTCTACGACTCCTCTCACCTCTTGTCCGGGTCACCAGAGGTAGGCACACCCTTATACTGAAGAGAGGCTGACATGGAATTTTTCTCTGTGTATCTCCAAAGAGTCTAGAAACTATTCCCCTTGAATACAATGAAATGCAGGAAATAAAAATTCCTCACTCTGCTCAAAAATCAGCTTCTAATATTGGTGGCCACTGTGTGCTGGCCAAGAGCTTTTATCATGTTCAGATCTTTTAAAATACATGATTACAGAAATTTATTAATTTGTTCATCTTGAGGAATGTCTTGCTGCATTGTCTTAAATGTTATAAATGTTTATTATACACAAGCAGATATGTAATTTTCATTAAATATAGGTCAAAGGATACAGATTTTTTTTTAAGTCCAGAAAGTATAAACCAGTCTCAATTTCGTTCCTTAGCTTTAACCTAGGAAATTGGCATTTGAAAACACCAAAACACCCCTCCCATTCTCTATCTGGTACTTTATCTTTCCCTATCTATCTGATATGCTATTGCTAGATTCCAATGTGTATTTTGCTAATGAAAGCCATGCTAAACTTTGGTGATCAGAGAAGCAGAAAAGGGAAGGACATTTGCAGAAACTGTCCTTGAGTGTAAGATGTTCCTTTAGCTGGTCTCCTGGGCTTCATTTTTTGTTCCATCTGGTGGTTCCCTCGACACCCTCCCCAAGCAGGAGAATTTGGAGATGGTACTGGCCAGGATGATTACAGATGGGTCCACTCCCTGGTTGGCAGATGAAGCCAAGAGTTAAAAGAATGTATTTACACAGCAGGGCAGAGTCAGGAAACCTATTGTTTCTGTATTGTATCAAGTCTAATAATTTCAATGTGAACAAACTTAGAAGCAAAACAAAACACCAACCTATTAACCCTGGGTTGACATCCAATTTGGCTTAATTTTCATCTTAAACTGTATTGCAAGTACTCTGGAAAGCTGGGGAGCCTGTGAATGGAATAGAAACTGATATTTTGGATCTTTATTTCAGCCCATCTGAGAATATACATTGTTCTTTTAAAAACAATGAAAACTTCCTTCTCCCGGTTAATTGTAGACTCACAAGCAGTTGTAAGAAATAATACAAAGAGAGCGCTTACACCCTCCACCCAGTTTCCCTGGTGGTAACATCTTGCAAAGTTCCAGTCAAGGGACAGGGCGTACAGAGCATTCTCATCCCAAAGTCTCCCTCTTGTTGCCAGTTTCTGCCATCCCACTGCCTCCTCCGCCACCCTCCCTTCACCCTCGGCTACCTCTACTCTCCATTTCTAGAAGAGTGCTGTGTGAATGGAATTATACAGTATGTAACCTTTGGGGATGGGGGCTTTTCTCTCAGCATAACTCCCTGGAGAGTGACCCGGGTTGAGAGTGACCCGGGTTGATGCAATGGATCGGTAGGTTGTTGCTTTTTATTGTTGGGCTGTGTCAGGGTACAAACTGCACCACAGCTTGTTTGACCATTCAACATGTTGAGGGTCATCTGGGGTGCTTCCCCTTTAAGGCTATTACAAATAAAGCTGCTATAAACCCTGCATACAGGTTTTTATCGCAAATAAAGCTGCTATAAACACTGTGTACAGGTTTTGTGTTAACAGAGCCTGTAAAAGTCCAAGCATGTAATTGCTCAGTCATGTAGTAGTTGCATGTTTAGCTTTTTTAAAATTTGTGAGAGACAGAGAAAGAACTATCGATTTGTTGTTCCATTTATCCAATGCATTCATTGGTTGATTCTTTTTTTTTTTTTTTTAAGATTTCATTTATTTCTTTTTAGAGAGAGGGGAAGGGAGGAGAAAGAGAGAGAAACGTCAATGTGTGGTTGCCTCTTACACGCCCCGCAATGGGACCTGGCTCGCAACCCAGGCATGTGCCCTGACTGGGTATTAGAATCAAAGCAGGGACCCTTCGGTTTCCTGAGCCACATCAGCCAGGGCCATTGGTTGATTCTTGTATGTGCCCTGGTGGGGCACGAACCTAAAACCTTGGCAGATCAGGAGGGTGCTCTCACCACCTGAGCTACTCGTCAGAGCTATAGTTGTAATTTGCTTCTCCCAAATTGCACACCACTTCATGTATTTATTTGCTATCGGTATATCCTCTTTGGTGAAATGTCTCTTCAAGTCTTTGGCCCATAACCTAACTAGATTTCTTTTTTTACTGTTGAGTTTTGAGAAGTCCTTATATATCTAGATACTAGTCCTTTATTGGATGTGTGGTTTGCAAATATTTTCTTCCATTCTGTAGCTTATTTTTTCATTCTCTTAACTGGGTCTTATGTAGAGCAAAAGTTTTTAATTTTTTAAAAGATTTTATTTATTTATCTTTAGAGGGGAAGGGAAGGAGAGAGGGAGAGAAACATCAACGTATGGTTGCCTCTCGTGCGTCCCCTGCTGGGAACTGGCCTGCAACCCAGGCATGTGCCCTGACTGGGAATTGAACCACAATCCTCTGGTTTGCAGGCCCGTGCTCAATCCACTGAGCTATACCAGCCATGGCAAAAAGTTTTTAATTTTGATGAGGCACAATTTATCACTTTTTCCTCTTATGGATCATACTTTTCATATCAAGTTTGAACTTTTGCTTTGGCCGAGGTCCCTAAGATTTTTTCCCATGTTTTTTATCTAGAAGTTTTATAGTTTTATATTTTACAATCAAATGCAAGCTCCATTTTGAGTTAAGGTTTTTATAAGGTGTGAGATTTAGGTCAAGGTTAATTGTTTTGCCTATGAGGATGCCTGATTGTTCCAGTGCCTTTGTTAAAAGGCTGTCATCCCTCCATTGGATTGCTTTTGAATCTTTATGAAACATCAGTTGTATATATTTATATGGATTTATTAAAATTTTTATGAAATTATTTCACACTTATGTTGAAAGACTTCAGCAAGTCAATTGAAAGTAATGAACAAGAAATGTTAGATCAACTATCTGCCTTTCTTCAATTTGTTCCTAGTTAAGAGGTCCATCAGTTCACACTGATTATTTTCATGACGGAAGGCATGGGTTTTGGCTGATCCAAGATTTTCTATAGTGATTAAATTCTATACTTAGGAGCAAATATTCAATATATCACAACCTACTAGTTTTCTGACAATGAATACGATAAATAGTATATAACTGAATATATATAATTTTATATTTATCTGTAACTATATACTGAAATAACCATTTTCTTTGGCATGATTTAAAAATATAAGCCCTGCCTAAGTAGCTCAGTTGGTTAGAACGTCAGCCTGATATGCCAATGTTAAGGCTTTAATCCCCTGTCAGGGCACATAAAGGATCAACCAATGAATGTATAAATAAGTGGAACAACAAATCAGTGTTCCTCTCTCTCACCTTTCCTCCCTCTCTCTAAAAAAAAAAAAAAAAATAGTCCTGGCTGGTGTAGCTCAGTGGATTGAGTGTGGGCCTGTGAAGCAAAGGGTCGCTGGTTCCATTCCCAGGCAGGGCACATGCCTGGGTTGCAGGCCAGGTCCCCAGTGGGGGACACATGAGAGGCAACCACACATGGATGTTTCTCTCCCACTCTTTCTCCTTCCCTTCCCCTCTCTCTAAAAATAAACAAATAAAATATTTTTAAAAAATTAAAAATTAAATAAATAAAACCAGCATCACAGTAAGATGTCCCCATTGCAAAACAAACTTCACTGTGCCATGGGGCCTTCTGTTGGAACCCCGCCAGGAGGGCCGATTTCCTCAGAAGGACCAGACGGACGATACGTGATGGTGATGATTCCAGAACATAGAATTCCCCCTCCCCTTATATCATTTAAACACTGTGCTAAAAGGAAATTGCTTTTCTTCCATATCCTTGCTTAGCGGACTGTAAATTCCCATCAGGAAGCCAGGCAGTCAGTTCAATCTCAAGGCCCTAGAATGTGGGTCTCCGCCTCGGCTACATGTTGAGCATCAGCTACGGAAATTTTTCCAGCCCCAGTGCCCAGGCTTCCCC